CTCATGGTGGCTGCTCTCCCAAACTTTTTTCCCCCCTCTTCTCCACCCTGTGTGTTGGTACGCTGCTATGGTGGTAGTTTTAGGGGTGATGGTGGTTAGGGGTGACTTTCCACCCCATGTAACATTGTTTGCCTAACTTGTGTAGTTACAGAGTGGCACTGCTGTCAGTGTTCCACACATCTGAAAGTGGGACTTGGCCTGCTAACGGCATTCATGTGTTAAAGCCCTCTGATGTCAGCACCAACTGCTCCGTTTCCAAGAGTTTGGCGACTGTGACAGAACAATCCGATGGCACTGAATCTAAATGGGATGCTAATAACCTTTAAGTGTCCTCAGAAGGAACCTCAGTCCTCTGCTGGAGTGCACTGATCATATTTTGGAGCATAAAGACAGGGAAATAATGAAGCCTTGAAGTGCCTGCAATCTCCTTCTGGTGCCCTGATGAATGGTGACAGGTTGTATTTACAACGGGGAAACGTGCTGACACTGCTAAATTCGGCACCTCTTGGAAAAGTACCAAAACATTGCTACCCTTAAGCAAATGTCTCTGCCTCGATCACAGTTGAGGTTTAAAGCAGGAAACATGAGTGAACAAAGGGCATGATGGACGTCTGTGGAGAGATGGTCCGAGGTTTTTCCTGAAGGTCAAACTGTCAGAAAGAGGCAGTTAGACCTGCCGAGGCTGAGTAGTGCTCTGTGCTCCATCTTCATCCTTGAAAAACACTGAGAGGAAAAAAAGAAAAAAATCAGGAGTGGGAGTGTCATCGTGCACTTCATGTTGTTTATGTTTGCTGCCTTGTTGCATGCTACGTGTTATGTAGCAGGCATGCTGTGTGGCGGTCAGCATGGAATGTGTCCTGTCATTACTGATGAAGCGATTAGACTGGGTAGCTTTGATTTCCATGTGTTCCCCCTGATAGGAAAAGTGAATAAGGCAGCTGCAGGCGACTGCTGCACAAGCAGACCTTGGCTTGCTGCTCAGTATGACTTGGCTGTAGCAACCATTAGGTTAGCAAAGTGGGCTAAACTCGCACGCGATTAGGCTGTCAACATCTGAAAATAATGAGCTGCAGACAGAGCCGCACTGGCATGCAAATACAGAACTGACATTTAAAGCTGGCTTAACATAAATGAGAGAAGAGAAGGCATCGAAGAGGAGCTCCGGCCTCCCACTGCAGAAGAGCAGAGCTGCTGTGGCTAATGGACAATCGGGCCCTTTAGAACATTCAAGAATAAAATAATTATTCCTCTACACCAGACCTCATGGACAAATGGGTCTGAGGGTCGATTTACTTCTAAGGGGATGTGGTGTTGATCCCATAAAGGGCATCATGAGATGTATAGCCTCTTACAAGATCATTTAAACCACTTAATGGAAGACATAAATTAATGGCTGCCACAGAGCTGAGTCAATTATATGGATATTTTCATAACATATTGTGTATAATTCATGGTATAATTGCACCGACACCGATCAGCCCTTCTGCTTTTACTTGTAGCCTGTTTTGGAGCTCTGTTGTTGACTCTGTTTAACACACCGTCTCCTTGCAGTGAAACAGTTGCACTGCCATTGTCTGCCATTGTAGGGTGGCACAGTGTCGGCAGCTGCGGCTCTTGTTAATTTGTATTAATGTCAGATAATTTAGAGTCGCCGTGGATGCATGTGCGCGCATTGTGCTCTCAGGCAAAAAATTGGATTCATTAAGAAGATGGAAGAGCTGGTTAGGCTTTTTGGCCTTGTGGTTTCAGGTCACTGAGTAATGTGACGAGATGGAGAGGGTCCTGGCCTGGTAGGTGGGGGAAGATACGCAGAAACAGAGGATAGGGAAAAAAAACACCACACAAATGAAAATCTGTCACTTTGACATGTCTCACACTGCCCTGCACTCCGTTACAGCCTGACATGTCAGACTGTGCTTATGACTGAGTGACACAAGTCTCATCACCGCCTCGAGACGACAGGACAAAAAAAAAAGGTCATCTCAAGTGACTCCGACAACAATCCGTTTCTTTTGTTAATAAGGTTTGTTGAAAAGAGAGAACACCAACACGTGCCGCCGTCAACGGCCTGCCACGAGTAAAGCCGAGT